CTTCTTCTTCTTCTTCTTCTTCTTCTTCTTCTTCTTCTTCTTCTTCTTCTTCTACACAGTTTTTGGTGGGGGTTTTTTTCTTTTTTGCTGTTGTTGGTTTAGGTTGTTGTGTTTTGCAACAAAATCTGCTCAAATATTCAAGACTTATGTATCAAATGAACTGTCAAGTACATTAGCTGCTAAGGGATTTCAAATTTCCCGGTAAAATTTTTAGTAACTGCCAGCAAGGTAGACTTATCGAATTATTCTCTTATCCGCTGGTTTGTGGGTGGGAGGAAGGATATCATCTTCCGACCATACGTACCAGTTACTTGGACAGAAAACATATCGATGTCTGGGGGTTTTATTGGCATTAGCTGTAGAGTGTATAATAAGAATGTAAGCCTATCAAATGTCGTCTATTTGTTACATGTTTATTTATCAGCGCGGTGTTGAAATTGTGTCGTATGTGTGCCTTTGAGGAGAAAAGTTCGATATTCGAAAATAAAATTAATGTATTTAAAAAAAAAGAAATTTGATTATTCTGGATAAAACTAATCTGGGTCGACAGAACAGCGCGCACATGCATTTCTATTCTATTACATGTATTTGTTTTAAAACATGTTTAATTTGCAAAGCCTAGAACTTTCACTTTCAGCATAATCCACATTTGTTAAATTTAATTTGTTTCCTTATTTGTTAGTTAGTTTCCTTTTCCCTAACAAGAGTGATACATTGGGCAGGTCTATGTAAAAAAAAGTACATATATGTTAAATCCTGGAAAATTATCATACTTTCTCACATTTTGTGTTGAAGTGGTTTTGTTTTATCTAAAAGTTCGATTTATGATTATTTTAAAAAACACAACACACCCTATAATATAATGCTGCACCTTGTCAATGTTTCGAGCGATCATCCGACACGACAATACCTTCTGTATGTGAGAAAAGACGTAGATCTAGGGTTCTCATATTGTGGGAAGTCCACTTTAAAAAAAAAATATTTATTTATTTATTAAGAAAAATGGCGAACAACCGAAGGCAGGATTACAACTACTCTGATAGACAGGAAATATTTTGCCACATCACTCACATTTGCCACCCGCCTCAGTCGTCTCCTGTTTCACGTACGAATGACACTAGCTTCTATTTCTCTCTCTCTCTGTCTCTCTCTCTCTCTCTCTCTCTCTCTCTCTCTCTCTCTCTCTCTCTCTCTTTCTTTCTCTCTCTCTCTCTCTATCTCTATCTCTATCTCTCTCTTGTCATTCTCGCCTGCTTTATGCTCTGTGGGACAGTGGCCTTGAGCCCTGAATAAAGTACCTAACTACCTAGTTACTTCACCTATGCACACTGCTCAGGTCCTATATTGGAGTGAAATTAAATCAGGAGGATTTCATCAAGTACAAAACGCGCCCCGAGTCGCGTCAGATCGGTTTCCATGGGAACAAGTAAACTATCGCAGTGCAGAATAAATCTAGCACCCAGATTTAGTTCACCTTTCTAATGTCTGGTGATCGGTGTAGCAGTTAGGTGATTTGCTGTTGTACACAGGAGACCCCACTTCGATTCCCGAGACTGGAGATTTGAGTATCTCAGTCTTTCGGTGGTTGATGGAAGCGTAAAAAGTACCTACATTTAAAAAGAAACTGTCTGCGAGGCGATGTTGACTCAAGTTGTATTCGAAATAAATATTACACTTCATTTTGAGATAACAGCGTCAGCAATTTGCTTAATTCAGTTGTTGCTTTTTTCTTATTGGTAAGTAAAAGATTTGCGTAAGCCACTACTTTTTTTGTTTTGGTGCTTTTTTTAAAACAAAATCGTACACGATGTAGATATCTATACATGTGGTGCATGCAACTGGGACTACTCGAGAAAACAAATCTTCAAACAATAACTTTTATGATATTTTTGAAACTTCACAAAACATTAATTGCCGTCCCAATATTTATGATTAGTTGTTTTTTTTAAAAACTCAAATGCTAAATGTATTGCCCAACGATGAAACCTCGGGGTTTACAATGGTCACGTTTTGCGAGAATCGTCGTCGACGGCGCTGAGAGAGTTAATGTGTGCCGGACCGCCGCTGACAGAGGCATCTATCGTTTCGTTAGTGAATGACGCAGGAAATATGTAACTAAAATCTTTGGATCTTGTCGCCCTAAAAAAGATGCTCAATCTCATGGTGTGTTCAGTGTGACAGTAGACACGACTATAGCAATTATTTCAACTAGTTCCCCCCCCCCCCCACCCCACTACAAGGGTAGGAGTTATTTGTAAAACAAAACAATATTATTTGCTATTATGGCCAATTCCTCAACTCCAACGTGTTACCATTATTATTCTACTTTCATAACGGATCACCCCCCCCACCCCCCCACCCCCACTCCAACCCCAACTTAAAGAACAAAAACGAAAACAAGTTAAAAGAAAAAAGAAAATCCAAACTTTCCACCCCGATGGATTTCAAAAGAATCTTAAACTTGTAAAAGAAAGTATAGGCATTATAAAAATTTGGATTTCAAAATCATATTATGCATGGATTTAAAATAATCAACATTCCACTTGGTTTTCACTACACATAGAATTGTCGTTATTTCAAGAGAGAAAGACAAATAATTAGGGTCATAATATGCCTTCATCGTTTATACAAAAATAGCAACAGAGATCATGCAGTGTTATAATGTTGAGAGCTCCTCGAAAGTTTAAAGTCACACTCGTTCTGGACTCCTTATTCTCTGTCTCTCTCTTTCTCTCTCTCTCTCTCTCTCTCTCTCTCTCTCTCTTTCTTTCTCTCTCTCTCTCTTTCTTTCTCTCTCTCTCTCTTTCTTTCTCTCTCCCTCTCTCTCTTTCTTTCTCTCTCCCTCTCTCTCTGATGCTGATATTGTATCTCTCACTCCTTCCCTCCTTCCTCCCTTCTCTTTCTTTTATAGTAGCTTTCTACTCCTCTTTTCTTTCAGTTTGTCGGTCCAAACACACACACACACACACACACACACACACACACACACACACACACACACACACACACACACACATACACACAAGCACAGGCTAACAAACCAGTCAGTACCACCACCACCACCACACTCCAATGCCACAGTCTGAAGACGCCGACTATCTATATCGAGGACCAGAGAACACAGCACAGTTCCTCCTGTCCCCTCCCACACACTGTGGTCAGCTTTGCCTTGAGATGAACAACTTTACTTTTAGTTAGTCCGCATGACCAAGGCCTCATTTCGCCAGGAACAATATCAGAGCAACACCACGAGCAGTCGTGACACTGTGAAACAACATCGGGGTGTTGTATCAATCCGAGAATGATATCCGAACCCTATCGTGGATTCGCCAAACCGAACATGTCGACGACAGATAACAATATATCCCCTGCACCACAAAACAGCCTAACTCCAAGAGGAGAAGAAAGCGTTCTGGGACATGCATGAATGAATCAGCAGTCTGGCTGGTGGGTGGGACGACCACTTCTCACAGACAATCACCCGGTGATAGAACAATACATTTCTGGAAACTCCTTGGTTGGAACATCACTATCTCCACAGACATAAGTCATCACGTAGACTCTATTTCTGCAAACTTCTAGAACGTTGAACTTCCATAAACGTAGAGGAGAATGCATCCACGAATGCCACACGAAGCAACAGCGCCATCCTGCCTCTTTTTAGGGGAGGGGGTGTTCCTCTTTTCGTTCCGTGTCCTTTTTTGGGTGCCAAGTCAGTAATCTTATTTGTATAAGACAATCATTAACTAGGAGAACCCTGCCTTCTGTTCTCTCTATGGGGTGAAGAAAACACTCATCAACTCGTCCTTGTCAACTTATTGTGGTCACCTCACCCTTGTAACCTCCAAATAGCACGATCGTTCCTTCACGTGCGGCTTCACTCACTCCTACATCACGGGAAAGAGGAGACAAAGAGGCGTCCAGACGAGCAGACTTTTCACGTGTTTGTCTGCTCGCTGGTCCAGGTTCTTGTCCTGATAGACGCATCTGATGTTTCCCACACAGCGGGGATTAGATCCTTCCTTCATTATGCGGCTAAAACTTTATTGGAGACAAAATTATTCACTAAAAGTGTGTTCGTTTTTAACAAATCTGTATTCTTTTCTGTAGTAGAGCAATGGCGTAGTAATTTAAAGTCTCACAAGTTTGAGAAGTAATGTTCTGGGACCCCATCATCCAACATGGCGTTTGTGGTCGCCATGACAGTGACGTCACTTCCCCATGACGTTCTACTAATAACCTCTCTCGCTCTATGTCGGCGCTCGCGTTGATTTGTCCAGAGCGCGAAGACGAAGATGAAGAGAGCTGAGAAAGATGACGTAGACCGGTAGCCTTCCTCGTCCTAGAAGGCCGGCGTTGATTGTCACCAGACCTCTGACGTCATCTCCTGTAGTTGCTGGTGTGGGTTGGGGTGTTGGTGCGGGTGGTGGTGGGCGAGGGAAGGAGACAGAGACTGGCTGAAGGGCGGGCCCATACTGCGGGGGACGCCGAACGCCTCGTGTTGGCCCAGGGGAGGGAGGGGCTCGGGGGTGGAGGAGGGCGGCATCATGTCGCCGGGCATGAAGGGACCGTCGTGGCCCAGACCTGGGGGAGACAAGAAACAAAACGATATAAGAATAAGGATTTTCTATTATTTCATTTATTTATTTTTTTAAAAATGTAATTTATCTTAATTTTTATTTTTTTATTTTATTTATTAAAAATTTTTTTTTTTTTTTTTTGGGGGGGTGTTAGTTTTAAGTAACATGAACTGAACAGGACGGCCCAATATATGACAGATATCGGACTTCAAGTGTGATGCAATCGAGGAGAAAAAAAAAAGAAGAAGAAAAAGAAGAAAGTTAAGTAAGAGTTTTACGGCACTTACAAGGAAGACAGAAATAATAGAGGACAATTAAAGAAGCTCTATAACGGATACATTACCGCATCAAAAAGAAGAAAATGTAATAGCAATACAGAAACAGAGGTTAGATTAAAATTTACTAGTAAAAGTTTTATAGCACTTGCAACACAATAAGGTCATGTAAGTGTCGAAGATTAAAGGTATTACAAGAGAGTAACAAAAATAAAAAAGGAGAGATCAGGACGATAGATGGCTGAAGAGAAAGAGGGAGCAAACAACGATGGTTGTCTTTGAGGTAATGGCTGTTACGTAGAGATCTATAATACATAAACATCTGAACTGAAACACTGAGACGTTATAGGGAGCTCTGTCAGTCCAGTTGGTATCATTACGGTTACGGTTAGTCGGCTCTATAACGAAAACATTACGTCACCAAACAGAAGAGGGGGCAATGGTTACACAGAAACAGAGCCTGAGTGTACAGACATCGTTAAAGGAACCCACAAACCGCCAAAATATTTCTTCCTAAAACAGTGCCAGCTGTATGCCATTAACACATGGCCCACAGTCTAATCTCTCTGAAAAGGGAAAATAGTGTGTAATAATTGTTCCCCATGTTGCACTGATTGCTGTCAGATTTTATCCCCAAACTGCACTCCACGGTCACAGAAAACATTTGACTGGCTCTCAGCCGCCAACCACAACTGACCACCACTGACCACAGACACTCTCGAGAGTTTGGTCTCAAGTGCAGGAGTATGTCGAGGGTCGGAGAACAAACGATCGTATCCCCAGATGTCGTGTCTTTAACTGCAACGTGTGTGGGGAGACGGCTTAGGCAGTACCATTTGTCAGACTGTAACTAGACAAACAGAAAGACACCATGTTTACGTACTAACAGCCCAGAAGCGACACTTGTTCATATTATATTGACAAGTACGATTGATACGACATAGACTGGACATATTTGATTTTTTTTTTCTTGTCAAAAAAATACTCTGCATAGTTTTAGGTCACAGTTTATATCATCTACAAGTGCCAAAGAATAGATGTGTCACTAGAAAGTAACATAAAGAAAAGAAGGCGGAGACATGAGGACAATAGACGTTTGATAGAAAAAAAAACCCAACACAACAACTACCAAATCATACCAGAGCACCCGTCAACCACCCACAATCTAGAGATAACTGAAACATTTCATGTATTCTAGCCCATCAATAGCCCAACATCGGTGTGCCAAGCTGTAGATACGACATTTTGCCTCCCTGGTCATGATCTATTTCATTGTTTTTCCTACGATGTCAGCATGTCTCCGAAGTGGCACTTCACTCAGACCTGCAACGTTTACGACATTCCCCCCTGCTCTTGTCCACACACGCTAATCTCCATAATACATATTCTCTCTGTCTATTTCTCTCTCTCTCTCTCTCTTTGAAAGACTCTCTCCATAATACACGCTCTCTCTCTCTCTCTCTCTCTCTCTCTCTCTCTCTCT